CTTCTGCCTGGGTTTATGTTTTATGTGGTCGATTGTCAGGAATCAACAAGCCTCTGTCATCCATGTACACATAGGTAATAGCTTATACAGTGCTTTGCATAAAAGTCCGGAAACTGCGTTTCGCGCGTTTCTGTTTGTCCCAGCCAAACAATACCTTATAGGGTAACACCTGACCGAGGGCGCGACGGTCCTCGAGTCAGCCTATATCGCTCCTGGGACACAAATGCCCATCTCAAGGCTGAATAACGTTCAGATCTGTATCTCTTCAGGATATCGAGCACGCAGAGGTCAAAATCCCCCAAGAACGACCCTCATACATGAATGTTGAAGCGTCCCGCCGACCAGTCAACAGCCCGCGCTACGGTGATCGACTACCCCATATAGGTTTGTTTGGCTGGCACAAACAACATTTCGCGAATCACGGTTTCCGGACTTTTATGCAAAGCACTGTAACTACTTATATATATCTTTGATTCCTAAGATCACATTGTTCAGTGCTGAAAGATCCCAAACACTTCTCAGTTGATGATATTTCTGCACTGACTCAGACATACAGGAACACCTCTTTACTTCCTGATGCATAAGACTGGTGACAAACAGTGCTTATAATATAGTAGTTCTCTTGACAGAGCTGTTGGTGGGCGCATATTTGCCAAAGGTCCGTTGTGACCATGACCGCAGGGCTTGATGGATACATATTTCTTCAAATTTGCCGATGTATAGAAAGCACAAGATACTTTGACAGGCTACAGACTCCACATGATACAATATACAACTGCAAATTCAAGACTACCAGCAATCCTTGCACCATTCAACGAGGTCTGTTAGAAAAAGTCTCGCATCGCCGGGTTTCAGACACACTGCGTCGTTTGTCCGAATCAGGCAAGTGGTCTACAGCTCGCGTCCTCAGATTTTGCTTGATGCATTTATCAAAGATATAGTGTATGTCCTACCACTTCAAAAAGTATGTAGACCTGTGCTAGAATGCTACTCAACGGTACAGAAAAAGATTCAGATTTTAATACAGCTCTGGGAAGTCGCAAATAGAAAGTGCACGCAAACCGTGCAAGAAAGTGAAAATCGGGACCCCGTAAACTTGGAAAGGGACAACGACAATAGGGTTGACGTCGTCGGTAATACCCCTTGGCCGGCACTATCCGACCTCGTCGGTGTTGTGGCCCGGCTCCATTTATGCCTTCTGTGCTCCATGATGAGACTCACGCACTGCTCAGCTGGATCTGGAGGAGGGAATTGTTCGTCAATGGTGCGAGTACTTATATATCCCGAGTTGATGCGTGCCGCCGCAGAGCTCAGAGGGCCTTCACTATCGCTTCTGTTTATAGTCGGCTTCCTTGGGAATGACTCGACTTCGAAATTGGGCTTCTAGATAAGGGACCTAACGAGGCAGCATCATGGCATTTCTTTGCAGTCCTCCCCGAGCTTCGACAGTCTGCAATGGCAGTTCCGAGTCGCAGGTCCGGTTTGGTCCCTAGGGACGAAGATCCAGGGATAGCTGAGGAACAAGTCCCGAAGCCCGCCGTGACACAGCTGCCCTGGTTGCAATTGAGTATTGTGTACTGGGTGCAACTATCCGAACCTATGACCGGATATGTCCTGTTTCCAATTATCAACCAGGTATGAGATCGAAGGTTGACGATATGTGTGCTTGTGCTTCCGCTAAGCACCCCTTATGCAGATGATCCTTGAATACGGCCTCACCAATGGCGACGAGAAAGAAGTCGGATACTATGCCGGCGCTATTGTAATAAAAGCGTTTGCAAATGTCATTGCACCACTGATCCTTTTCCCAGATGTCCGCATTTTATGTTACTGAGACTCTTTTTGTCTTCTTCTGGGGACGATTGTCCGACAGGTACGCTTACCGCCTCAGTGCTAGTTATTTCTCTCGGTCGATTAATGCGCCTTCGGTCAGACTGGGCCGTCGCCCAGTAGTCCTCACAGGAATCCTTGGCTCCGGCGTGACTATGGTCATGTTTGGTCTCATGAGGACTTTCGTCGGTCTCCTGCTGAGTCGTGGCTTGTCTGGAGCCGTCAATGGCAATATCGGCGTACTAAAAAGTATGATTGCTGAGATGACCGACGAGACCAACCAAGCTAGAGCGTGGAGTCTCGCGCCTGTAGTGTTTGCTTGTGCGTGTCACGTAACTTTGATGAAGCTGCATATCAGCTTAATCCGAGTTACAGCGGGCGCTACTTTAGCGCCAATCATCGGCGGCGGTCTTGCCCATCCTGCAGAACGGTTCTCCAGGCTATTCGGCAGTTGGGACTTCTTCAAGGCATATCCATACTTTCTACCTTGCTTTGTAGCCTCTATATTTCCTTTCTCTGCTTTCGTGGTCTCAGCACTCTTCCTTAAAGAGGTAAGAGCAGTTCTCATAAACTTTGCTCTCTGATTCACGTATTCTGCCGTCTAGACACTCCCTACTCGGGACCACCCTCGCAAAGCCGCTGCTAACACTAGTGGGTCGAGTGAGCCTGACTCTGATCAGGCTGAGCCCTCCGCATCAACGCCCTTGCTCCAGAAGTCGGATAAACCCAAGCCACCTCCTATCCGGTCAATTTTAACTACCCGAGTCCAGATTGCCATCCTCAACTACGGCACTATCTCTTTATTGAGTATCATGTATTCGTTCATGCAGCCTCTCTTCTTGTCGACTCCCCTCGGCAAAGGCGGTCTTGGCTTATCCTCTGCGGCGATCGGGTGGATCCTAGGGGCATGCGGACTGTGGAATGGCTTGTTCCAAGGCCTGTTCTTCCCGGCATTGCATAGACGCTTGGGGACAAAGAAGCTGTTTATGATCAGCGTCTGCACTTATATCCCGCTTTTCGTCCTATGGCCGTTGATGACCATCCTATCAAGTCGCACCGGGTTTATCACTCTTGTCGTGAAGCTCTTGCTCGCGGTTCAACTTGCTTTGTATCCATTATCTCGCAGTGGATTCAGTGAGTTCCTTCGCTGTTCTTTTTATGTGGTTTATATATTCAGAGTTCTCGAGGTTGCTCGCATATATTTATTACGTCCGCTGCTCCGACAAGGAGTTCACTTGGGGCGACGACCGGATTGGGACAGACAGTCGCGTCTTTCATGCGGGTTGTCGGTCCAGCCCTTTCTGCCTCACTCTTTGCGGTCTCGCTCCAAAGGGATCTGTTCGGGGGATTCCTCGTCTATCTGATCCTAATCATCCTGGCGCTGGGTACCATAGCAGGGGGTACTCTATTACCGACAGTCATGAAAAAGGCATCGGAAGAAGCTGAAGAAGTTGAATAAGGTCACCGTTGTTGTACATGTAGTCGTCACGTCGTCACTGATATGTCGGCTCGCTACATGCATTGGAGATATCTGATACTTGTGGGTGCTTTCCCTCTATGGTGCGGGCTTCTCAGCCGAGTCATACTGGTATTGCTTTGTACAAGACCCGGGTTGCATGTTCTAGCCGCGGAAACACGGATATTGTCGCGTAGGCTCGTGACGGGTCCGTCGCTGTAGCGCCCTGGGATAGGCTGTAGAGTGCATCTTGCGCGGACAAGAGCGCCGGTGCGAACGGGTGGCCAGATCTTCACATCACACATCCCCCGACACCGTCGGTATAGTCGAGAGAAACGCAATGTGAGATGGCGCGAGATGGGATATCACCTCGCACCGCCGAAGTACGAGGATAGGCATACCGTCAATGTTGCAGGATCCGATGCGTCCGCGCGTGTGGTATACCCGGTATCGAAAGCCCAGCTGAGAGGTCCGACAGGGCAGCGACAGAGCCTCAAGACGAGAGACGCGCATTTAGTGGGATAGGCATGAGCCGTATCGATTAGCAGCGGCAGAAACCATCCCGGGGAGATCTGACGAGCAGAAGTAAGTAGACGACGGCTTCCGAGGCGAAAAGCTGAAGGTGTGGGTCCTCGGGCGTGCGTCACGAGGAGGGGTTTCCTTCCCATGGGAGCAGCAGGGAACATACCAGAATGAAGGTATACGCCCTGCCGCTCGACGAGGAGGCTGACGACGAAACGCCGAGGTCGGGAATGCATGGTTCGGAATGCATGCGCCCTCGTCGATGCGCGCAGGAAGGACCATTGAATGCCGCTGGTGGTGGTGGTTATGTATCCCGGTCACGAGGGAGCGCGGCTGTGCCGGTGGGCTCTTCGCTTGGGTGGCCAGGCGGTATTGTTCTGGGTGGCGACCTCGAGTATGCGGCGGTATACCTCCCTAGAAAGAGTTCGAGGTCAGGTCTTGGGGATTATGGTCGGCAGTCCCTATAGACAGGATCGCTCGCCTATCTGCTGGCTATTGAGGAGACGTCGTTTACAAGTCTAGGTCGGCAGAGTCGGTTCCCTCGGGAAGAGAGCACCGGCGGGTTGCCTATACTTGCACGGGGTCAGGCCGCTCGAAACGGAAGGGGGAGGACTTCCAGCGTATGCAAGTCTGACTTGCCTCTCGTATCAACCACGTACGTAGCAGCGTAGCAATGACACTCAGAAGCAAAAGACGTCCATACAGTACATTTGTAGGACGCGTACCGCTACTCACCGTCCCGTATGAAGTAGATATCGGCCCAGCAACAGATCCGAGTCGTGTGCGTACGCGGCAAACAAACGATGAACATGGCTGATCCTCTGTACTGGCGATGCAGTCGTTCGATACCCCGTCACCGCGAGCGGCAGCAAAGGTCTGAGATGGTAAGCTCGTCGGGGTCGGGCGGGGACAAAGTGGCAGAGAGGTGAAGACGACAGCCAGCATGCGGCAGGTGCCGGAACGCTCTTGCCCTCCACCACTTGCTCTCCTCTCCCATGTCCCACCGCCCAGTGTCCTGTCCTGCCGTGCTCCTGCGACAACGCAGCTCGCCCGGCACCCGAGAGTCCATGGCGCCCCTAGTCAGTCTGGCTGCAAAGGCATTTGGGTGCAAGCTTAACTAAGTACACAGCTGGCGCTCTGGATCCTGGCGTGAGCGTCGGCGCCGTGTCCGCTGCGGACACGTCTCTCGGTCTTCGCTTCGCCTCACTCGCAGTACGTCGCTACCAGTACCGTTGATACGAACGTTCCCCTCCATCGCACTACACCCCCGATCGCATCCTCTCCCTCCCTCCCCCACTAATAGCAACACAACGCCTCTACCACGTTCGCCGCGCAGCCGCTGACTGCCATCCCCACCACCCCACGTTCCATTCCCCTCACTCTCCCACCGCTCTTCCCAGAATCCCACACCCCTCACCCAACCCTCCCGAGTCTCCCACACCCCTCCGAAATTCCAGCGCGCGGTCCCGTAATACCAAGGTACGTCCCCCTCTCGACGTATGTAGCATCGGCGTGAGTATGTAAACGTCTGCACGGAACACGATCGGTGGGAGGATTCGCGCTCGGGCTGTCAACTCGGAGTTGCGCTCGGTGGGAAGCATTGACGGGGGATCTTATCAGATAACCCTCACCTCCACTGCACGAATCGAAGCTAAGTCGAGGTGGAGAGTGTATTGGTATTGGTATTAGTATTAGTACATCCACTATCAAACAAAACAAACAAACAGGTACTCGTATTGCAACACACAGTAATACTAGCACATAATTACAATCGCAAACTCAAAGCAATGCAATCACGAATCGTAAGGTATCATAGACCCCCCCTCCTCCCAAACGCTCACCGCCCTCCCTTCTCGACATCCCACCTCCCCGCCCCACTCCCGCGGGGCGAGCTCGGCCCCGCGCTGCTACTCGGGCTCATCTCAACGCTCTCCCCCTCCTCCTCAATCACCAACACGACCGCTCTCCCACTAATACTCCCCCTCTCCCTCCCCGCCCTCGCCCTCGTGGGCAGTAAGGAATACGAATACCCGTGCCCCCTGCGGCGCCGATGAAACAGCACGAGGAATATACACGACGACGCCAGGAAGAGGAGCGCGACGACGAGGACGGGCGAGGATTTCACGGACTCGATGGTCTTGCCTATGAGGAGGATGAGCCGCGCGTCGGACCGGTGCCACGAGGACGCGCCGAGGTGCTCGAAGAGCGGGGTGAGGACGTGGCCGTTCAGCTGCGGGGCGCGGGGCGGCTAGCGTCGGCGTTGGATGAAAGGAAAGTGCGCGCGACACGCACCTTGTACTCCTGCGGGAGCACCGTGAGCTGCTCGCGGTGCGGGTAGAGCGTGTGCATCGTCGACCAGAACTGGCAGCCGGTCGAGAACATGTTCGTGACGCTGCGTTATAGACCGGATTAGAGGTGAATTTAGTAAGGCTGTAGCTGGGTGTATGCGCTAGGGACCGGCGCGCAACGGGGTGCGGGATGGCGCACTCGATAGCGTATACTCGAGTCTGCCCCGCCAAAGCCTCTGGTCCCCGCCAGTCCCAGATAAATCGACACTCCACTCACTAAGGCATCCCCCAGCGCAAATCATACTTCTTCACCTTGCCCACCACAAACTCCAAAAACCCATGATTCGGCCTGGCCACAATAAACGCATTGTTCACGCCCGTGGGGTTCGCGGGCGGGGTGAGGAACTCGACGCCCAGCAGGCCATCCAGCGGCTCTATGCACCTTAAATCCAAGTCCATGTATATCCCGCCGAAGCGGTGCAGCACGAGGTAGCGCAGGATGTTCGTGCGCTGGATCTCGTACGGGTACCCGCGGTACGTCGCGAAGAGCTGCGGGTAGTGCTGTTCGACGAACGCGTCCGCCGCGGCGTCGTCCCACACGCGGAACTCCCACCCTGCGGCGGGCGGGTGCAGCGCGGTGCACGCATCGTGCGCTTCCTGCCATTTGGGCCGCATCGTGAGGTTCCCGAGGCGCACCTGGTGGATGATCTTGGGCACGACGGGCGTCGTGTACGGTTGCGATGAGGGGGAGGGCGAGGAGAGCAGGGACGCTTGGTGGGTGAGGTTGGCGAGGTCGAAGCCGTCGGCGGCGCCGAGGACGTGGGTGTGCTTGAGCGGGAAGGCGAGGTAGGTGTAGAGGAGCGTGCTGAGCGCGCCGAGGTGGGGGAAGGCGAGGAGCAGCAGCCCGAGCGCGAGCAGCGCCAGCCCCGTCTTGCGCAGGTCCATCGCGAACATCGTCGGCGTCGTTGAAGGAACAGGCAGTCCTGGTCAACCCCCCTCCGTCGAAAATAATAAACAAACACCTCGCAGCCGGCATCCTGGCGCGCCATCCGAGATGAGCCGGTCCGGGGTCAGCCAGCGCCGCATCGGGAAGGATGACTGCTGCATTCGGATTGCCTTTGATGCCAAGCGCGGCGATCGAGATCGCGGGCCCGGCGGGGTTCTCTGCGGCTTCGGTGCTGTGCTGACGTGCGCCGACTCTCTTGCAACGCCCCGCGGTTATTGAAGATTCGAACGACTCTGCTCGTTCAGTCCGGCGATGTCGAGCACGCTCTGCTCGTCGTGTGGCTGATAACAAGTCATTGGATGACTTCCCGTAAGCCAAAATTCTAGATTTCGCAGTTCTAAACGCCATCAGCGTACCTGGTCACACTCGCTGCCAGGGTGCAATGGCAAAATAGAACCGTTCGTCCCATCCGTAATGCCAGACCAACGCTCGACGACTGCAAGTCACGACCATGAGGTCGCTTTCCATTTATGGCGAGCGGATCGCTCAATTTAGCAGGTGCTGATGGCAGGTTTGATACGCGGACCTCAACCGAGGCTAAGCGAGCGTTTAGAGTCGTCTGGAGATTTGGAAAGGGGGTCGACCCCCCTGCTAGATTTAAAGTTTAGAGACGGTTTTTGCTCGGCGAGCCTCATCAAAACTTGGTCTAAGCGAGAGCGTGACAAGACGGCATCTCGGCTTGATGCGTTTAGAGATTTAGAACTGCTCAAAACGCGTTCTAAATG